CAATATCTCAATCAAAGAAAAAAAATCCACAATATATATGTAGACATATGCAATGCGTTGAACTATTTCTTTTATGTTAAAGGGTATCCATTTCTAAATGAAACTTAAGAGTAGGTTTAAAAAACTTAATAAACAGTTCCTTATATAGTTTAATTAAGAATAAAAAAAAAAATAATTACATTTTATAACTGTATAAAAAGTTATATATAATAATTTATAATAACTTTCTACAGCTGTATAATACAATGTAAGATAAAAATCCAAAATAATATACGTGTACAAATTCCATAGAAACACACATAAAACTGTTTCAAATTCGAAATATTTTCATGATAAATCCTTTTATATTCAGCACTTCTTTCACTGTTCCGTAAGAAAGTTGTGGTCAATTTGTTCATAAAGTGTAGTGACTTTAACATCTGTCTGGGATTGAGACCTTCCTTTGAAACTGAAAACAAGCTGGAGAGGAATCATCACCAGGAATATTACAATGAACAATGATCGAAGATCCCGTCCCAATTACGATCCATTTAACAAATAAGTAAGCATTTTAAGGCTGTGAGTTAAAATTTTTTTATTTACCCGTATTGACATATATCTGATTTCATCTTCATATTATGAGAAAGTAATTACTCTCTTAATAACAACAAATACATGTCTGTAAACAGAGCTTTAACAAGGACACAGGGAAATTCTGGAGAGTTAGGATTAGGTTCATTGGATGTGAAAGCATACCTGTTGTCACACACACTGTGGGCCCAACGTAACTGATAAAGAAGACGGAATACTCCAAAGTCAAAGACCTTACGATTGATTTATAACTAGACACTGATTATATAGAAAATGCTCGGTACGAATCAATTCTTTATAATCTCAAACATTCTTTTCACAAGTGCAAATTAATTCCATTCCCAACAAATAAAAGTTGATTTTTCCTGGCTAACTTTTCTAAAAACATAACCCTAATTTTGATATTAACGTAGGTGATGGCACCAAAGCAACTACATGTATTGTTAAGAGGTCGAAGGAATAAAATTTAAATATTGACTCAAACAGTACTTTGAAGACGCTTTAGTCATTGTTAGGAAGACATAGTTATTCTAACTTTAACTATGTTCGGATAGGTAACAAATAAGAAGATAATTCGCAAAACCTCATCTTCTTTGGTTTTATCAATATTCATTGAGCACTTATTTTCAAGGATTTCTTTGTTCAGCAGATCCACAAATTCAAATGTTCATTGAATGAATAAATATGATGTTCATTTGTATAGGCAATGCTTTTGTCCACGAAATTACGTATCCTCGAAAATGTCTGTTTCACAAAATCCACGAAAATTGATGCCAATGAAAATTGATGAAACCACAATATTATCTTCAGGATGGTAATAAACAATTTTGTTACTTTTCACACTGCTCATATCCACCGCCTTTGAACGTTGTATTACTTGAACTTGAAAATTACCTCTTATTATCATTTTTGAATATTGTATAAAATACAAAATTTTACTGCTAGAAATATTATTCGTCATTTTACTCAATGTATAACTATTTCACGTCATTAATGTTGTTCTTAAACTTCTGTGTTCTTGTCAAATACAATTTACTTTTTTTTCTTTAAAGCAGATATCAATTTTAAAGAGCAAACCAACTTTGCATTTGTTATAGAAAGTAAAAAAAAAGTTTTATTTCAGAATGTCATTAGTTAGGGAATGCTTTACAAGACTACATGCGTAAAAGAAAAAAAATACATTCATAAGGTTGTCATCTAAGTTTGAGTCTTTGTACGTTGAAAGTCGGTTTTCTATAAAGGAATTCCCTGCCTTAATACCTCATCCCACATCTACAGTTTTCAGGGGTCTGTGTTTATATCAACTAAACAGATCTGTAATCTTTAAAGAGTTTTTAGAGATCAAAAACTGCTTGATATTTGCATACTTTTCAGTTAGTTAAGTTTAAAACTGTTTTACTGGTTGATTCATACATGAAAAGAGAAACAATCAAAGAGACATGAGTTAAAATATTTTAAATTTAAAATTGGCGTCGGTACCATAATGTTTGATTTTTTTTTTTTTGCCAATACCTTTCAGCATGTTAATTAAACCTTGACAGGATCCATTCACAGCATTGCATATGTTTTTGGAGCAATTACAGTCATTCTGACAGCCTATGCCAAAGGTTCCTAGTGGACATGTTTCATTGCAGTTGATTCCGCGAAAACCTGCCTCACACTCTATTCCAGAGTTGTACATAGTATAAGGAAACCGTATCAATCTTTATCATGTACAAGTATTTTTATATTATTAGTAAAAAAATTCCTCTTTTAAATTTCATTAGAATAAGTATTATGTTAAATTCCTACAAGGAACGCTTACCATATACAAATATTTCAAATTATTATTCAATCATTTTATTATTTTTTTTCATGAAGTTCAAACAGTTTTATGTTAAAGTCCTACGACATTTGAGAACAACCTGCTCATATTTTAGACGTTCAAAAAATATTTCAACATTGCTTAAACCATAACTTAAAATAACACTTCATAGAATTAGACATACCTTTACAGGTCTGAGTTGTATTATCAAAGTATTCCCCATTACAGCATGGAATCTTTAACATCCGCCTTTATACAAAAATACTCAGTTATCCAATAATTACTAAAATGCAAAAAATAACAAAAAAATATCAAAGAACAGTTTTCTCCATAACTTTCACCAACTATCCCCATAAGATGAAAAAATAAAACAGCCATCTAAGATATTATGCATTCATAAATGTTCTCTATGATATTTTGATTCTCATTTCATGTAACTCCACGAAGTTTCGTTTTGCAAAATTGATATGACACGCACTAACTTTCATGTTGAAAAAGAACACCTTTTCCAATGAAGTTATACAGAACCATCAAACATGTACATGTATAAATGTTGTACTTTAGAAGCAGTTTTTTATATTCATGTTGACAGAGTAACAATATTTAAATCTGTTTTAGAGTAAAATATATCTTTTTGAATTATTTCAAGAAAATATTGATCATTATCAAAGTACTTTCTTTTGAGTGCTAATCATATCTGCAAGTTTTTAGACCTTTGTTGCAATTGTGATCTTTTTATCATATTGCATCTTTGCTTAAAATTTCTTTTTAAAAGCTCGAATTAATAGTTTTAATTTTTTAAACATCTCTTTCAACAATATTCAACTCAAATTTAGACACCCTCACAGGGCTGTGAATTTAAATGCATTATGATTTAACATATATTCCTACAAAAATGGCGGCGTTTACATTCGCAATTCGATCTATATATTTATAGGGAAAATAAAGTACAATGTAGTTTATAAATAGAAATTGGAATTTCGGTAGTTATTATTTGTAACATTTTTGATCATTTGACATTTCATTTGTCACGTTATTTTATTGTCGTCTACTGTGTAATCAAATCTGAATCAGTTGAAACAAGATGGGTCGAAAAGGGAAGGAGTTGAACGGTTAAAAGATAATTCACTGCTCAATAACTGGTTTTAAACCTTTCCAGTGTATACTTTGACATTTCCATAAAAACAGAATTCGAGATAGAACGTATTTTAGATAAAAGCATCCATTCAGTTGATGAAACCGATTGATTTTACTTACATTTATCTAATATTTAAAGAAAAAAATATTTGCATTCATCATATGATTTATATTGTATTGTGTTTTATACTATCTTTACTAAGGCACAGGATACTACTCATAGTATTTCATTTCTCTTTATTAGGTGAAAAATTGATTGCACTGTAAGATAATATAGAAAGTACTAGTAAATGAATTGGCACTTTCCACAAATCAGCAGTAGGAGATTTAATTAAAGACTTTGAAATTTTGGGAAAAAATTGTTTTCGAAAGAAAGTTCCCGAAAAACTTATCTGATTGTAATTACTTAACCCAAATATTTTTTTCAATTGTTTTCCTGGTGCACACGATAGTAATATTTCCTTGTGTAAAGGGTTGTGCTTTTATGCAAATGATATGAAACGCCGAAAAGGAATATCACAGAATTCAGACCCGGTTTTTTTTTTATTTTCATTTAAGAATTTTATTCCATAAATAATCGTATCATAAATAGAATATTTGATACGCTCCAATCCACCTTTTAGTCACAAGTCTGTTTTAGTTTTTTAGTGTGACTGAACTTCAGATATGCTCTTCCTTATCGAAAGAAGCGTATCGTATACGGAAACATATCCACAAGCAGGTGATAAGTGTATGTTTCTTGACAAATAGAGGATGTTATGGATAGAAATATTGAAATCATCATGGTTATTTTAAAATTCAATTAGTATTTTTCATTAGTGCTTTTCATATACATGTATCCATCTAGATCTAGTTGGTTCTGCATTAGCGTATGTTGCATGCCCATTATACAATTTTTTTTTTTAATTTGGTACATATTTTTGTAGAGATTATATTTTTAACTTAAGATTTCAAATCACCTTTAGAGAGTGCTATGAACTTATTATATTTAAAGTTGGCACTTGTGATACTGAATTTACATACTGTGATAGTTCACAAATACTCTCAATATTTGGACGAGAAAGGAATACAGTTTTCCGATATGTTTAATATATGCACGATGAAAATATTGGATTAAAAATGTTAATGTTTACAAGAAAATATGATAAAGGACTTACAAATAGCAATATCATAAAAATATTCGTGAAAAATATTCTAGAACACCATTTCCAATCATATAATAACATTTTATCGAAGACTTGACTGTCTGTAGCCTTAGGTTCAGTGCTCAACAATATCTCAATCACAGAAAAAAAAACACATGTATGTCTAGGCATATACAATGCGTTGAATTATTTTTTACATGTAAAAAGTAATCAGTTTTTAAATACATCTTAAAAGTATCTTACAAAAAAAATCATAAACAGTTCTTAATTTAGTTTTATTAAGATTTGAAGAATAGATACATTTTTTAACTGTATCAAACGTGAGATATAATTGATAACAGCCGTATGTTAACATGTAAATTCTAAATAACATGCATGTAAAAATTCGAAAGCAACACTCATAAAACTGTTTCAAGTTTTAAATATTTATCATAAATCCTTTTATATTTGTCACTTCTTTCACTGTTCCGTGATACAGTTGTCGTCAATTCGTTCATAAACTGTCATGACCTGAACATCTGCCTGGGTTTGAGAACTTCCTTTAAAAGTAAGGATAAGTTGGAGAGCAATAATCACAAGGAAAAATCCCAATGAAGAAGGATCCTGTCCCAATTACGATCAATCTAACAAATGTGCCATTCATCTCTGTCAATTCACTGTCAGTTTTGTTCGAGGTAAAAACTTAAAAAAAAAATAAAACAAAGGTATCATAAACGATTGGATACAAATTTTACCACATACATGTAAGCGTTACATTGATAAAAATGCATTGTTTGAATTTTTTAACTTCATGAAAATCTTGGTGGAAAATGGGTTGGTAAGATAAATTAATATATAAAGATATAATGTCCCGCTTGAAAATTGGACAAATGAGTAGACATTTTGGGCTGCGTCTTAAGATTTAGTATCTTCCATCCTTGATATACCTCTAACCACATTCTCCTATTGTGCGAAAATAATTCTTCTCTTAATAACAACTAAAGCGTGTCCATACAGAGCTTAAAAGAGAACACCATGAATGCTGGAGAGGTAGGATCAGGTGCATAGGGCGCGCAAGTATTCCCTTTGTCAAACAGAGTGTGACTAATTTAACTGATCAACTGGATAGAATATTCCAAAGTCAAATAAAATTAGAAATAACAATAACAAAGACCTGTTGACTGATATATAATAAGTCATTAATTACATTGAGGTTATTTGATATTAAACTATTTTTTAAGCGTAAACATTTAACAAGAGTGAATTAAATAATTCGATCATAAATAAATTCTTTCCAGCTCTCTTTCCTGCATTCCTACCGTAATTATGATATAAACGTAGGTTATTGCATTATAATAACTATTGCTGGAAGATGGAAAGGGATAAAACCCAAATCATTGACATTTTCAGGTCTTTTTTCTCATTGTTTGGAAGAAAAAGTTATTCTCACTATAACGATGATCGTACAGGAAGGCAATACTGGTATAAAATTAACCTGCAAAACGTCATCTATAACCTCTTTATTGGTAAAAAAAAAAACAAACAATATTATGTCACTTTTCACAATGCTAGTATTCCCGCCTTGGAACGTTGAATAACTTGATAATTTTGGAATTAACGTGGGTTATTGCCCCGAATCAATTATTGCTAGAAAGGAATAAAACTCAAAACAATAACTCAAACAATATTTTGAGGATTTGTTGAAGACATTGTTAGGAAGAAGAGTTATTCTCACTTCAACATTGCTCGTAAAAGTAGGCAATAAAAAGTATGTCCGAAAAACTTCATCTATTAACTTCAAGCTGGTAAAACAATTTTATTTCTTTTTACACTTCTATCGCTTTACATGCAAGGTCCCCGTCTTGGAACGTTGAAGGAACTTGAACTTGGATATTACCCTATTGAAATATTACTTTTATGTATTGGCAAAAAATACTGAGTATCACTGCCAAAATTGCTTTTTTAATCATTTCTCTATGTATAATTATCCTTATTCCCTTTATTCGTTATAAAACTTCTGTGTTTTTGTCAAAATGAAGTCTGAATAAATTATTCAAATACAGCTATCAATATTAAAAGAAACAACAAAATTGCACTTGTATTTAAAAAAAACCCAGTAAATTCCAACATGTCATATAGTCTTGGGAATTATGAAGTTAAAATACATTTATTTTAATATAATTCTCATCTCAGTTTTATTGTTGTACATTGAAACGCGTTTTTTAATAAAAGAAATGAAAATAAAGGAAGGATACTTTCTTTTCCTAAGCACTTGATCTACACAACTGAAATTTCAAGGGGACTGTTTTATACCATCTTAACATATCTGTCTTCTTTAAAGAGTTTTTGGAGTTCAAACAGTGTTCGTTATCCCCATACCTTTTCTTATTAGGTTTACGACTGTTACCCTGATTAATTCAAATGAATAAAGAGATCATAGAAGAGACTTGAATTAAAACATTTTAAATTAAAAATTGGCGACGGTACCATTTTTTTTTATTGCCAATACCTTTCAGTACCATACCATTTAATTTTACCTTGACAGGCTCCATTCACGAAATTGCATGTGTTTTTGGAGCAATTACAGTCACTCTGACAGCCTCTGCCAAAGGTTCCTGATGGACATGTTTCATTGCAATTAATTCCGCGAAAACCTGCCTCACACTCTGTTCCATAAAAGTACATACATATAGTATAAAGAAACCGTATCCATCTTTATCTTATACAAGTACGAGGGGCTATCAAAAAAGTGCGCTCAGTTATCGATTTATTTCTCCATGTTTTTAAAACTGTAGTCTCAAAATATAAATAAACATATGTTCCTAGCATATTCTTTCACTGTTTGCACAACTAAACATTCCTCAAAATAGTTGTTAATAATCCTCCTGACCCTGATATTGTTATTATCGAAAATTTCGCTGATTCGTACTGCCATTTTGGTTTCAAAGATAATTCGGTCCAATATATGCTTCTTTCAGAAGTCAACTACGAGAGTAATTGATAGAAGAGAAAGGAATTTTTTGAAATCTTCCCTTTTTGCAAATGAGGTTAGAATTTAGAAGAATTAATCAAGAACCGAGCGCACTTTTTTGTGCACAATAAATATACAGTTTTTTCAATGGGTGGCACTGTAGCTCTCCGGTCTATCAATATATTTTTTTTTTCGGAGAGCTACAGATCTGCAGCTACATAAAATTAAAACCACTTTAGGTACATCAATGAATTATAAAAATAATTATTCATCATCATCTTTTCTATCTATAAAATAAACCACAATTATTAATGTTATGTTTAAATAAATTACTAAAATTTTTGTAAGCAATGGTATGTCCAAGCTGCGCAACCTAGAAAACGACTTGTTCAGACTTGAGTGTAACTACGACAAACTATTTTGATATGAACATCTGACATCCAAAAATCCCATTAATTTAGGTATTTGTTGGGACACTAATGTTACATAAAATATGGAATCTTTACCTCACTCTGGAAATTCTATGAAATTTTATCGTAAATTTTACATGGAGTATCCAAACGAATATTGCCTTGAAAATGAAGTCAAAGGGAGAGGGGTTTCATTTTCCAACGTTGCCCCTGGAAAAACTGGTATACACCTAGGAAATGTTTAAACTGGTTACGGAGAAAAAAAATGCATCCAGATTACTTTTTTTAATGCCAAGATTCAGAGAGAAAAGGAAAACAACGTTAAAGTGGATTTGTAGTCATTTCCGGTTTGAAAAATTTATCACGTCAAATAATTACATGTACGTTGATCATGTGTTTTAGCTATATTGAACTCCAAACAAAATATGCTGGCACAATCAAGCGATGATCTCTCCTAATGTATATTCATTTGCAATAAGAAATGCATTGAAAGTTGCTGTTCATGACATTATAAAGTCATAAAAAAGACGGGTTGAAGTCCTCACTCTGTTATAGGGAATCTCATCAAAAAAAGTGTACGAGGTAGAAGAGGCAGACATTGAAAAATAATGACGTCGTCGGACGTCATGAAACTATAAGCGGCAACGGCGCCAGGTGATCATATAATGTCATTTTTATTTTATAATAATTTGGGAAAAAATAAACATATCAAGCTAAAATGTTCAACATTTCTTTTGTTGTTGTTGTTGTTGTTTTATGTTCCATATAAATTTTGTAAGCGTAGATTACATAGTTCTATCTTTATAGCCACAGTCCACGAACTTTTTGATAACCCCTCGTATTTTATATTATGAGTCAATAATTTAATTTTGTTTGTATTCTAGTCTCTCATTGGTTGATTACCAAAAAGGATCGCAAATTATTTCTTAATAACCTGGTTTGGTATGGGGACACACCCCCTTGACAACCAGCTGAATCATCTGTATCGATACAATCCCATCATTTCCAGTCCTTGGAATTCATGGGAAATTCCAAATTTAATAATTGTACCTTTATTTTCAAACAGTAGCTCGATCTTACCTCGTGTAAACAAACATCATGGCTGCTAGATCTGTATATCAGTTATTACCTCCCCTTGTTTCGTATCACTTCCGTTACTAGGGATGTATTATTGAGCGGCAAATTTGAACTCATAAAAAGTAACACAATTTTACATCCACAATTGTTTAATCATTTTAAAATTAAATTATAAGGAATGACTCTAATTCTTGGCCAAATTATTCGATGATAACCTTGTTTGGGTCAGTTTACGCTTTATAATACGCGAAGCGGATTATAAAAATGCGTAAACTGGCCCAAACTAGGTTATCATCGAATAATTTGGCCAGAAATTAGAGTCATTTCTTAAATAATTTCCTTTTTTTTAATTTCATAATAATAGTTTTATGTTAAATTCCTACAAGAAATGCTTACCATGTACAAATTATATATACAGTTATTTGTCAATCATTCTTGTTTTTTTTTTTTATTTTCATGAAATTCACACAGTTTTATGTAGAATTCCTACTACTTTTGAGAACAATAGGCTCCTATTTTAGACGTTCACAAAACATTTCAACTTTTCTCAAACATATCAACGTGTTTTACAGCCATAAAATTTAAAAAAAAAAGGCATACCTTTACAGGTCTGAGATGTGTTATCAAAGTATTCCCCATCACAGCATGGAATATGTAACATCCCCCTTTATACAAAAATACTCAATTATCCATTAATTACTAAAATAAAAAAAAAATCAATTAAAAAAATAATAGAAATTGACTTGAAACTTATCTAAAAAAATATTTGGAGAATAGGTAAAAGAATATATTATAAATGTTACTTTGTCAAAGAACAATTTTCTCCATAAATTTCACCAACAATACCCATTAGATGAAAATACAAAAATAAAACAGCCATCTATGGTATTACACATTCATAAATGTTCTCTATGATGTTTTGAAACTCACTACATGTAACTCCACGAACTTCCGCGTTTCTCTTTAATATTGAAAAAGAACGCTTTTTTCCAATGAAGCTATAGTGAACCATCAAACATGTACATGTATCAATGTTGTACTTTAGAAGCAGTTTTTCACATTCATGTTGACCGAGTAACAATATTTAAATCTGTTTGAGAGTCAACTATATCGCTCTGATTTATTTCAAGAAAATATTGATCATTATCAAAGTACTTTTTTTTTGAGTGCTTATCATATCTGCAAGTTTTTAGACCTTTGCTGTAATTGTGATCTTTTTATCATATTGCATATTTGCATAAAATGTCTTTTAAAAGCTCGAAGTAATAGTTTCAATTTTTTAAACATTTCTTTCAACAATATTCAACTCATATTTAGACACCATCACAGGGCTGTGAATTATGATTTAACATATATTCCTTCAAATTGGCGGCGTTTACATTCGCGTTTCGACTAATATATTTATAAGGGGAAATAAAGTACAAAGTAGTTTATAAATAGAGATTGGAATTTTGGTAGTTATTATTTGTAACATTTTTGATCATTTGACATTTCATTTGTCACGTTATTTTATTGTCGTCTACTGTGTAATCAAATCTGAATCAGTTGAAACAAGATGGGTCGAAAAGGGAAGGAGTTGAACGGTTAAAAGATAATTCACTGCTCAATAACTGGTTTTAAACCTTTCCAGATAACATTTTTTATCATGTCACATTTCATTTGTCACGTGATTTATTGTCGTCTTCAACGTAAACAAATCTGAATCCGTTCGGTGGAAACAATATGAGGCGAAAAGGGATGGAGTTAGGTAACAAGGTAAAAGAAATCGCTTGGAAATTATTACAAGAAGGAAAAACTAACAGCTACGTTTCAGAAACATTGGATGTGTCAAGGATTACAGTCGCAAGTTTTAAGAAGCGTGTAGAACATCGAGATTTCATAGAAAACATCCCGAGACGAGGCAAGAAACCCATCGTGACAGCCCGAGACTACCAAAAGTTAAGAAGGCTCATAAAAACCCAAAGAAGAGAGAGTTTACAGGATATAACGGACAAACTAAAATGACAATAAAGAAAGGCTTATATCTAAACGAACTGTACAATAACTTCTGTTGAGACGGATAGCAAAGAAAGAAACGGGCAATTCGAGAGGTTAATAGGAGAAAGCGTTTATCGTGGTGTCGAGAAAAGAGAAAACTCACTGTTGACAGCTCTGGAGAAAAGTTTTATTCTCCGATGAATCTAAGTTTGTTTTGGGACAAGACTCTCGTCGCAGCACTGTTAAGGCCTACTATGAGAAATCAACGGAAAATAGACGTGCAAAAAAGGGGGACCTTTTTAAAACTGAATTTATTTTAATTAAGCTGTTTTATTATCACAGAACACAAATACTTATTGAAATAGCATAGTATAACCCACTCTGTACAGTATGAAGTTTGGTCCCATCAATGGACAGTCACGTGATGAATGCATAGTTCGTGTACTGAATGTAGGTCATGAACAAATTTCAATATCGCAAGGGCAAACACTAGTTGAAATTAAAAATTCAAGTTATTATTTGTATCTGCATACTTTGTAGTTTCTGAAAAGTGCTGCTGCTTTGAATAGATTTTGCGTTTTAATAGTTAAAATTTCAGGTAAATAAGCCAATGTCGAAATATGTTTGACTTTTACCAAATATTGTGTGTACTTATAAAATTACGCCCTCGATTTAAAGAAAGCAGCAGCATTTTTCAAGTTAAGAAAAGTATCCTTTATCTATATTCGAAAAATGGTTAAGATCTATGAAGTGTATGCCCTTGTGAAAGTGCGATTTCATGAGGCATCTCGATGTAAAATATACGTAACCTGTACATAAAAACACGACATAATTAATAAATCACATTCTCTTGATAATTAATTGATAATCGCACTAAACAAAGGATATGTATTGGTATTAATCGACTATTTAAAACCTGTAAATAATATTTCGTTTAATAATAAAACGCATTTTTCATTATTAAAAAATCCCTCAATCTGCCTCTCACAGCACATGAAATACGTCATTTTTACCAAAATGACGTCATATGTTTACAAGTTCATCGCGATCAGTGCTTTGTCTATAACCAGCTAAACGGGATTTAACTAGCAAGTTTTTTAATGCATTGATAAGTTTTATTGTTGTCTATTATGCGAATACAGTTAAAAGTTGCAAACTATTTCATTTTCAGGTACAATGAGAAATACATAAAAGTCATATTTTTGTGTGACGTCACAGTAAACTTTTCCCGTATAAATTAGGCCCGCCCCCTTATTCAAGCCGTAACAATGCTGCGGTGTGTAAATTTAAAGGAATCGAGGGGGATATAAATATGGAAATATAAGTAAGGGATACAAGACGAAGATGGTCTAATATGTCAGATACGGGACTGGGACGAGGTGCTAAGCACCGAGTCTCAGTCCCGTATCTGACATAATAGACCATCTGAGTTTTGTATCTTACTTAAAACATTTTTTCAATGCACTTTTGTATTGCTATTGTCATAATATGATACTTGTGACGGTGACCAAACCAGATGGATGGGGCGCTTAAGGGTTTCAGATATTTCTTTCAAAGGGATGAATAGATTTTGATTTAAAAACCTTTATTGAACCCCAATCATATATTATTTAGCGTTGCGACACTCTACGGACGCATTAAGGAGAGCTGAGCAACTTCATGAAAAAAAGCGATTCTGGGAGTATTGTGAAGGATCTTTTTTAACGTTTGAAGATTGTAAGTGACCATTAGGCAAATAAATTCCAGGAAAGTGTCGTTCTTGTCCCTTGGATATCGAAAGCACCACATGTTTACTCAAACGAATTTGGAAATATGTTGTGAAATTAAATTTTCCGGAAAAAAAATCGGAGTTCAACGGGATATATTAACAGATCAAGTGTAAACTTGTCCGAATGTAATGTTCTACAATGGACCACTTTACGGGGATTTATTTGGATGTGTTTTCGAAAAAATCACAAATATAAGATAAGTGCTTCGATATCGGTCGTTTCACAATCAGTGAACTGTCTGGGCGGAGTGTAAATTCTACTGGATTTCTGAGATACTCCTATTTTGAAGTTTCGTTGCATAAATTGGTTTCCATAAAGTTTAAATTGATTGCTCCATTACTTGAATTGGATTACAAGATTGTTGATTTCTATATAAAATGCATAATGTTTGTTTATTTTCTGCCTTATTCATTCGCTGTGCAAAATCCTTTGTTTCACACAGTCCAGTATCATTTTGGAGTACAATATTAGATGCAATAGTTATTGTATATTTATTATGGTGTATCCTAAGTTATTCGGACGAAGGGCGGTGACGATTGCGAAGCACGAGTCTCTGCCTTCGTCCAAATCAATCAGGATACACAATAATAAATATTCAATAATTTTCTTGTATCATGGCCAATCAAACGTCATGTCACAGATTTTCAGCATGATTTTTAATTACACCAATAGAAAATATAGTTTTTGTCAGGTGACCGCATTGATAATCTCTCCTTCCTGTCAGTATTTCTAATAAACATTTTACGTGCCTGTGTTCATGAGAAGGGGCGTCGGATTGCAGCATCCCAGCCCCCCCCCCCCTCCCGGATTTCCTTGTCAACTGATCTGGAGGCCCCCTTTCTTTTAAATGTAGCTACGGACTTAAAGTGGCAGAGTTGTGATTCTGGAGGTGTGATTGTCTGCATGAGTGCTGGGGGCACCAACCTGGAGCCTCCCCCTTTCAAAAATTGCTGGATATCGATCCGCCCCTGGATTGTTAATGAAATTCTCAAGAAAACCTTTGGATATCAAAGAAGAAAAATTCGAAGTTGAACAAGGTAAATTCAAGTGTTATTCGAAAATCAAGAAAAAAAATACCCGTTGATCATTTGACATATTCGAGAGCTGTCGTATTCACGAAAACGCTGTGTCGGGGTCAATTACTCTTCATCTGTTGATGCAGTACAGCTTAAGCCCTATATTACAATAGATGGAATATTTTAATATATTTCTGTATGGAATTCATGTCAAGAATTTAATTTCTAGTTACTGTGGATTGAATGTTTGAAGAGATCCGTAAAATCATTTCGTAGTTCACTTAAGAATATATACGTACTGTAATTTATGTGAAAGGCTTTTATTTCACTTGCAGAAATTTTGCATTAGTATATTACAAAGCCCATTCATTCGTAAGATTCAATATACATGTAAATTAAAATGATGAAATCGCCTTGGTGTTCAATAATTTATTTACACGGCACAGTTTTGGCTGACTCCGCCCATCGGTGTATCTCCAGTTATTGTACACTTGACTTCAAAGGAAAAACACCGCAGCCATAATACAAATAATATTGTACTCCCGACAATAATATTGGACTATAGCTAGTACCCTCTTTGAAATACGAGACTGTCGAAACAAAAGAATGACGTCACAAAAATGTTTTAAATGCTGATAAATATAAGAAAATCTTAGACGACAATCGATGGCCAGTTTTTTCGGTCATTTTCGACTAGAAATTATATTTTTCAAGACGATAATGCTCCTATACACCTTGCACATTCAATGCATGATTTTTTGCACTGGAACGGTATTACAAAGATGAGCTGGCCAGCACAGAGTCCAGACTTAAAAAATGATTGAAAATCCGTGGCTCCTTATTAAAAGAAAACTTCAAAGAAGGATAGGGAAAAATGAGAACAAAGACGATCCCTTCCGACATAACACCGGAGTTTGTTAAAAGCATCTACAGGACCATTCTGAGCCGGTTACTGTGATATAAAGAAAACTAGTTACAATGATGACTTACTTTCGTCGCGAATTTAATCACGCCACCATTTTTTTATGAAACATATTGCATCATACTGTATATACATGTACTTGGTGCATTGTACAGTGAGGGTTCCTTTTCCTAACATCATGAAACATATGAAGGTAACGTCAGTATTCACGATCAAAAGTCCATAAAACGATACAAAATAGAAGCAGAGCAAACAAAAAACCAAAAAATCAGAGGTGAGATCAGGTGCCATAGAGAAGTGTGCATCCCCTTCCGACCCGTCACACCGCCGTGTGCTCCTTGACATGATCAGAAAATAACGCAAAAATCCGTTGTCAATTCACTGTATGAATAATGGACTAATAATTAGTATGAAAATCGTCAGTCAGCATTTGACTCAATGATAAATTGTCTTTACCGGGTACTGACAAGTTCATTGTATTGACCATTGAATTGATAACTTTAAACTAGCCTGTTTAAAATCTTGTATCATCTACTGCGACAAAGGGTCTATGTTTATGCGCAGCATTGTCCAAAAATTCCATTTCCGAGCTTTGCAATGGGATTTGAATCGATGATGCAAATTTAACTCGTACTTGTATAAAAGCTTTAACTATTATGCAACCTGGCAACTTGTAGAGAATTAAGAGATGATAAAAAGTAAAAACAGGTTATTGGGAATATTTGGCAATCAATAGTACAAATAAAAAATTGATACATCTGTTGAGTCTGTTTTATATTTGGATATTTTACTTGAAAAAATAAATTTATGGTAATCTAATAAGGAAACTCTATGATAAATGTGCAAGACTTTAACTTTTCTATCGTAAACTTCTATCGTAAACTTCTCTTACTCATGCACCTTGATCACCTGCATACAAAGTCTATATTTCTCAGTTGATTCGATAAGCTAGAGCATGCTCTATGTAAGTGCAATTTTCTTCAGGGGTAGGTTGTTGACAAACATGTTGATGAAAAAAAGAATAAAAGCAATTTCATTTAAATCGCCATTTTGTAAGTTCTAGTCGTAACAATGACCTTGTCAGGAAATACAATTTACCATTGAGTCAAATTCTTACTGCCGTAGTTTCAATATTAATCGTTATTCAATTATTTACACACTGAATTGACGACTGATTTTTCCGTTACTCTCCGATCATGACAAAAGCAAACGGCGGGTGTGACCGTCTGCATAGGATGCTCACTCCTCCATCGTACCTGATCCCGCTTCTGATGTTTTAAGGCCCGTGTTTGCTCTGTTCCTATTTTGTATTGTTTTATGGATTTTTGAGCTTGATCATGAATACTATTCGTTATCCCCATATGTTTTATACAGGTATGTGCAAAAATATACGGATAATGCCATATAAATCAATAATCAACATTATCAATATTATTTATGAATTTGTATTTTCCATTCACACCATAAAATAGTGTAAACATGTGTTACTGCTTACAAGTCTGAGTTATCGTTGCTGAGCTAGATCGTCTGATAAAAGAAATAGTTCACCATACTCAGCCTAAGAGTGGATTTTTAAGTCTCTCTTAAAAATATGTATTGTATATCAAATTATATTTATAAAACAAGAGAAAAATAAGGGAAAAAAGAAATGTTGTTCAGGTGTATCTACATAAAATTACCATAAGTACATGTATTTTGCTTTTTAGAATTTTATTGTTAGCCTTCATGTATTTTAACATGTTGTAACGATATTTCTTTCAGAAGGTCCTCTATTTTTCATGAGAAACGAGACAACTGTAAGTACAATTACATATACGATGGCAACGGTAATGAAAATGGCTGTCATACTCTTTCCTTTTCCATGTTTTGTCCTGAAAAAAAAAATCTGTCTGAGGTAAGTAAGATAAAGTGGAGAAGATTAAGAACATGTTTAATTAGACATGCTTCGTTGTAAAAAGTCACGGCAACCAACAAATTAAATGTTTTGTCAAAAATAAATTTATATTTATTGATATTTAAAAACGTTTATGAAAAACTCCTACGTCGTTTTCTTTTTGCTAATGTACTTGCAGAAAACACATTTTTTAATATCACCTGAGCTGAAAGCTCAAGCGAGCTTTTCTGATTACCCATTGTCCGTCGTCCGTCTGTCTATCTGTAAGCCTTTCACTTTTTCAACTTCTTCTCAAGAACCACTGGGCCAATTTCACCCAAACTTGATACTGAGCTTTCTTGAGGAAAGGGGGTTTAAATTTTCAAAATGAAGTGCCTAGTTTGCCACAAGGAGAGATAATCAAGATAACACAAAAATAGGGTTCAGTGACTACAAATATTCGTCTTAAGAACTATTTGGCCAGAAAAGCTGAAACTTATGTGGAAGCACTGTGAAGAAGTGGGGATTCTAAGTTGTTAAAATCATGACCCCCGGGGTTAGGGCGGGGCCATATTAGGGAATCCAAGTTTAACATTGAAGTACATGTATATAGGAAAAATCTTCTTCTCAAGAACCACTGTGGCAGAAAACCTTAAACTTATGTGGATGCATCCTGGGGTAGTGTAAATTCTAAACTATTAAAATTGTGACCCCCGGGCGTAAGACGGGGACACAATAGGGAATCCAAATTTTACATTGAAATATATAGGAAAAATCTACTCATGAACCACCGAGCCTGAAAATCTTAAACTTATGTGGAAGCATTCTAGGGTAGTGTCGATTATACATTCTTCAAATTATGATCCCAGAGGGTAAAACGGGGTCACAAAAGGTGTAACAAAAGGGAAATCTTAAAAGAATAGTATGGCCAAAGTAAATAAGGTGAACGATGTGTCCCATGGGCCTCTTGTTCCATTTACCAAACCTTCCCGTTATCAAACAAACATATTGCTTCTTCTGCGGTTTTTCATACAAATTTTATAATCAAATTTTTATAACTGAGATCAACAGAAATACAATGTCATGTGTAATCTTACTGTGCCTCTTAGACATAATCAAGCCTACATGTTGTATGTAAGGAATAGTTATCCAAAATACCTTTTGGGTTTGAACAAAGTTCCATTGATGTGCAATGAGTACGTTAGATTTTTTGAAGACATTATTGTGCTAGATGCTGGAATGAGTAATGACGTCAATAATAAAGCTGGTGATGGGGATGATGATGACGTTGTGGTAGTAAATGATTCCATAACATAACCATAACATTCTGCATCTGAAGAGAAACATGCGCTTAATAATAAAGCAAGTTTTACTTGATATTTAGTACTATTACAAATATTAGCATTTCTAGATCTTATCAGCATTCAAATTTACAGTTTTTGGAAGGCGTGTATCTGTATCTTAATATATGTTAAAAGCGAATTGATTAGAGAAAGAGTTCTGTTAAGCACATGTGCATGTACATATTAATGCAATAAGTCACATAAATCGATCGAGTGCCAAGCCGCCATGGTATTCCTCAATACAAAGCAACGGTTACCCGCTCTAAACTATGGATACCGGCACTTACATTTGTATGAATCTTCGGATGAATAAGAATTAGGACAAGGTGGTTTAAATTGGCTGCAGTCAGACAGAAAACTACTTCTTATGCTTTTGTATCCTTCGTCATAATTAGCACACTTTCCTCCTGAAAAGCAAAGATATATTTTTCAATTGTTGCAACAAGCTTTAAAATTCAGGTCCAGTAGACATCTTCCTGAATTCTTGATATATTTTTTAACAATACAATTTTACATTCATGGACGTTGCACGAATAATTAATGAAAAGACGGCTTTGCTACTTAAATATTCATAAACATGCAAAAAAATACACTTAAAATGCCGGTACCGATTATTTTAATTGGAGAGGCGCAAACTTCCAACAATGAGGTTCTCATGCTGTTCAAAACACAGTGGTAGGTGAAGCCTTTGCAATCGTTCTTTATAAGGTGACATTGCTTTTTAGCTGCTCTCTGTTCCCATTCCAGGTTCGTGACAGGACAACTCTTCACGTGTTCAAGGGTTTGTGTGGAAAGGTTGCAAGGTAGTGAAAAACTGTTCACATATTCTCTCTAAAAATTTCTGAGCTGGTTTCAGTATCCGGCATCCATCAACATCAAATTACACAGAATGTGCAGAAATACCATCACCATCCAAGGATAAATACATATTGTAAATATGTAGATCGAGAGAAGCACTGCTCTACTTTACTTGATTCAATTGATCCAGATCATAATTTTTACTTGCTTTTAAGCATGTTGTACATACACATGATACATGCATTTAAAAAATCTTTTCTAATGCAAACAAAGAGATCATAAAAATGATGATAATATTTATGGATACATATTGCAGGCTAAGTGCAGTGATTGATCATTATGGAACATTTTTTTCTAATACTGTCCACATCTGTATATTTAATCATGTTTAGTCTGTCTTTGATACTTAAGGAATTCTACTCTATACCACAACCAGGACTAAGAGATTGAATGAAGTGGTTCTGGTCCATGCAGTTTACGAAAAAAAAAATTACTTTTAAAATCTACTATTCATATTTTCTATGATTATAATGTGGTGTTTATGGAAAAATAATCCTTCGTTTTTACATGTAATATTGTTTCACAGTTGTATTGCTTTAACAAATTACCATGAATACAACTGTTTCAGCATTTCGTTAAGGATTATTTAATTTTTTCAAAATTCCATGGAAGGTTTATATCTGTTTTCATTCATGAAATTCGGAAATTACAACTAAACTGTTCAGTAAATTCTCAAATTTGATTTTCTTTTTTGTGATTTAAAAAGAGTAAAAAAAAAAAGATCGTTCTTTTTCCTTTGTCTCTTTGAAGACATCATTAAAATTTGCATCGCATGCCTATTTAAATTTATCAAAATCAAATTAATTACTGATCAACAAGGGATACTTTTGGAATGACCCTCTTCTCAAAAACAATTTCTCTTCTTGTAAAGTTCTTCCGTATCAAACGGAACTGTTTTTTTTTTTCTTCTGATTTTTTCCCCAAATCTTGTCGGCAAAATATTTCAGAGATGGCTGGACAGATTTTCCTGAAATTTACAGGTATGAGAGAGAATGAAAAAACCCCGAGACCTTTTTTTTATTTACTGAGTAAGCGAATCCATTCCGGTTGACATTGTCCGCCGTCATTTCTTGACGTCCAAGTAAGCGATGAAAAAAATCAAAAAATTATATATTTTTTTGGAACATTTTTGCATCACATTATCCCTCTTATTTGTACTTTTAATAAATGTCAGTCTCATTAGAAAAACAAAAACGGCAACTTCCGGTTAATAGAGAAAACCTGTATAATTTGAGTATTATACATGTACTATCTATAAATATCTGTTATAGATGTATGATTTGAAATGATTTTTGGATATGATATTCAGACTACAAATTTCTAGAGTAACGTCAAATATCTTTTTTTTTTTGTTTATCTTTAATTTTTAGTTTTTTTTGAATTATTTCTATCTAGACATGGTCCTTGCATGAATGTAAATCGATTTGTTCAAAAGAAACGAGATGTGTTTGTATAAAATTGGATTCTGTGTATAACAACTTATGGCGTGGTTTGAAGTTACTGAAATGCATGTCAGAATCTAATGGCCAAGGTAAAATGGTAAAAATAGATTACTAGTAGTACCCAAAGAAAGGACTTGTTTCAAGGAATAGACCCGTGAAATGTGAAAGTCCTAGATCTTACTCTTCAAAAGTTAAGGCCAAGGTAATTTTTCTATAAGAGGAATCAAGTTCTGGGTGTAAAGGTCAAAAATGTTATAGCCCCGTGGGGATCCGGGTTAGAATAGGTCTTCAGTACCCCCTTGCTTGTCGTAAAAGGCGATTAAATGGGGCGGTCCTTCGGATGAGACCGTATAAACCGAGGCCCCGTGTAACAGCAGGTGTGGCACGATAAAGATCCCTCCCTGCTCAAAGGCCGTAAGTGCCTAGCATAGGCCTAAATTTGCAGTCCTTCACCGGCAATGGTGAGGTCTCCATATCAGTGAAATATTCTGGAGAGGGACGTTAAATAGTATACAATCAATCAATCAAAAATGTTATACTCACTGAAAGGTTTTGTCAAAAAAAAATGGTAGCCCAATCTCCAACTGTTCGAAAATCATGATCAAGGTTAAAGTGTGGTATTTTTTGTGAAAACTCCAAAGTCAAGGTTAAGAGGTCAAATTTTGTCGAAACCAATAAAAAGTATTTTTAAAGGGAATACACTTGTGAAATACGAAAGCCTTAGCCCCACCAACTAAAAGATTATGTGAAAGGTGAAAGTTTTGGCAGACAAACAGACACACAGACAAAGAGTTAGACAGAAAAAAGGCACACAGCTTCATAGATATCTATGTAGACAGACAGATGATCAACGGACTAGACAAAACATACTCCCAAAACCATGTTTACTAGGGCTTACAAATAAAACTTACCCACGAAATTAGGATAACAGAACTAAAACATGTTATCAACACAGCTTTCTAAAATGAAAGAAAATTTCATAGGCTTCATATTTAATCGGTAAATTGATCGATAAAATATGTAAACAGTAAACATGTATACATATGGAATAGAAATACATTTTTTTTTCATTTTATATCACCACAGTATTGTTAACGCTCAGCGAAAGAGAATCATCAATATGCTTTCCCTAATTTTCATACAATGTTTTGGAACATAGATAAAAATTAATGAAGAGAGGGAAGGCATTGATTTTGTATCATAAAAGCGTTTGTAAGAGAGTGCCTTGTCTATTTAAGATCCAATCTATCTGCAGTTTTATTTTCAGATCTTCAGTAATTTTGTTATCTACATACATTACAATTTATTGGAAAATAAATTGAAACACTTATTGAAAAATACCCCGATCTTTCTTTTTATTTATTTCATACCTACCGATACATTGAAAAGATTGTCTAATCTTCACTATATGGTTTAAAAAATCAAATGTAACTTTCAATAGTCATGCATTATCACATTAATCTTGTCACTGCTAAGAATTTAAGTTGACATGAATTGTTTAACTTCTATCTTTAACTACGGCGGCGGAGTTATCATCAAAAGAGAAATATTTTACTTTCGGTTTCATGCAAACTGGGCTTATTATACTTAAATATACCACAAAAAAGATGCAATTCCAGGACTATTGTTTTTCCTTAAATACATTAAACCTTGACCTTTAACAAAATCAGAATATACACACATACTTGTTGAAACATGTCCGGGCACGCTTCTAAACAGGAAAAAGTAAGAAGTCAAGGGGATTTTCCAAAAACTTTAGAATGAACATCTGTTTCCGGAAAAATCAATAAATCGCTAGTACACATGATAATGGGGGCATAAGTGCAAAAATTGTCCCCATTATTTATTCTAGTATAAACTTTTAATGAAAATTAAGTTATATACGTCTGTAATATGTGTCATTTCCTACAAGCAATGTCTGAAATCTTTAAGGTAAAATCATAATAGTGTAATATAACATGAATTATGGCGTCATGTATTATATTTCTGTAATTACAAAGGAAAACTATTTTACGTTAAAACTCTTCTGTCAATAGCATAATATAACTTTGAATCTAACCAGTTTTATAATTTTGAATTAAAAGAAATACTGAATATGAGCTTAGATATAATATATATAATTTTAATAACGAATCTTATATTAAAAAAGAAACAAGGATACCTTTCATACATGTACATTACAGTTTAAAATTTCAACAACATAGATCTCAATTTCAATACATGGTAAAGCTTAAGAGAATCAACAACAAATTCTTGCAACTATAATATAACTTTTCTTTTCTTTTTCTTTTTTTTCATTTTAAGTCTATTATAAATTTGATTGATTGATTGTATGTTGTTTAACGTCCTTCTCGAGAATTTTTCACTCATATGGAGACGCCACCACTTGCCGATGAAGGGTTACAAATTTTGTCCTATGCTCGGACCTTAGGGCCTTTTAGCAGTGTGGGATCTTTTTCGTGCCAGCACCTACTGCGACACGGGGCCTCGGTTTATACGGTGTCATCTGAAGGACCGGTCTCCACGTCCCACAGTGGGATTCGAATCCGTGACGTAAGGATTGACCCCTTACTTCGCGACTTTAGAGAAGACGCTCTAACCACTGCGACACGCGGGCGACAATTATAAATCTGATATCAATATTGAAAAATTCTGCATTATAATCAGTAACCTGAAATAAAACCCGTTTAAAATTGTTTTGGGAATAACATTACTTTTTATAGTAATTTGATTTGATTTGATTAGTATACGTATCGTTTCCTGATTTTTATTTAAAAATTAAAATAAGTACACGACTATATACAGCCGTTTACTTATTTTAATTTTCAAATAAAAATCAGTAAAGGACAAACGTAATGAAACATGTGTCCATATTAGCATATTGGATGTCATTAACAGATTTTTGCTACATTAAAGGTATATATATATTAATTGGTACCTATATATATATTTCGTCATATTTCACATCTATAGTATGATCATTGATGATGATAAAATTGTATGTAAAGATACGTCAAACAACATTATTCCTGAAGGAATATTGGTCATTTAAGCATTGCTCAAGTGCGCACGTGCATGGATATACGTAATGACAATATAATCATATCATCTTACCTATATTCCACTTTAACTGTATAATAATCTCATATTATAAATATAAGGGCCGTTAATCAAAAAATTACAAAAAAATAATAAGCTAAATCAAACCTTTTTTGTAATTTTTGTATTGCACGTCCAGCACGTGCATGATGAACACTCCTTTTTATATGAATCTATTGTGTCTATCTCTGTTCATTCAATTTTGTTGAAAAAAGGTGGTTATAGCAATTTAAAATTAAAGTCAATCAGATTGCAACACACGTGCTTGCGTGTGCGTGTTTATGAAAAATTTCATATTTCATATTGTAGGACATTCTAATAACGTTTGACTACGTTTAAAATTGTCAAAAAACAAAAACAAGATATTGAAATAAGTGCTGTAGCCAATTTTAGAAAACGCACATGTATGCGCCAATGTCCATGCTTATTTGACCATGTCCTTACATTTGGTACATACAAAGACAGAGTCTTTTGATATGAATTCCAGTGGTGGGTACATGTACCAATTTACCTTTTTAGAAACAAAAACAAATGAAACTTTCATTGTATCATTGTGTCATTGTATGTGGCAAAAACAAAACACCTACCGAAGCGTACAACTCGACATTTAGATTAATCTAAGTCATTTTATCAATAAAAAAAATGTAATTTTGAGTTATTGATTCATGAACTGAGCTTGAAAAAAGTATACATGTACCATTGCCTAACATTTTTTTCCAATATGGATATTTCCCTAGAAAGTCTACATGTATAACAGATACATTTTTGCAACAAGAACACTGAAAGATAATTATAGTATCGTTAACAATTCGTGTGTCAGTTTAAATAACTACATTATGTAGCAATATCCCCGCATCACCTATATTATGTACGTATTTTATGCTTTCTAGTTAATTCTATAGTCAATATCATACTTTACGTACGAACAATTAGAACCATTGCCAGCTTAGTTTGGACTTTCATTAGGCGTGGCATTCTCGACGTTACCTAATTAGCTTCTGAACTTTACACAGGTTCCCTTCATTGTTGAAATATACATAGGATAGAAATTTACCCGAATGTAAACTGCTGTAGTTACGAAAGCCCAGAAGGCTCATTCGAGATTCGAGTTTCAAAATACGAGATTCGAAATTCGAGATTCAAAATTCGAAATTCGAGATTCAAAATTCGAGTTTCGAGATTCAAGATCCAAACGAACCAATCAAAAGCGGGTTCAACATTTGATTATTTCCCTTTATTATGTTTTTACTATCAAGAAATAATTCAATATAATTATATCAAATTATATCAAATGGGTCATTTCATTAAATTACAATGCAAGAAAAAGTGTTATATATATTAGAGGGAAATTTAAATAATTAATGGATTTTTAATCCGCAATGAATATTTCAATTTATATTATGGATTCTTAAAGATTAAATAGATTACATATATCAGGAGTATATAATTATATTTTTGTATTGATGATAAATTACCGGCCGCCAGGAGATGGTCGGTTATATGATATGAAAGTTCGAAGTCGCTGTGCGTTTCTGCGGAGTTAACACAATTTAAATAAAAAATATTTAACATTAATATAATAGTATATTAAAAAGACGGTTTTAAGGTTAAAAAAAAACGCACAATAAACATAAAATTAAAAATTCTTATGAAGAATGAGGTAAATAATTCATCCAATACTGACTTAGAAATTTAGATATGTTTGAAGTGCGGAGAAACATGTGTTGGGCGTAGTCTAAATCAAAGACCGCGTTATGTATATTACACAATTTTACTTTCTCTATTCAAACGGGATTTGTTGTACGTATTTATTTTAAAATCACGTGTACATATGTACACATATAAACATTTTGAAAAATATGGTTAAATGTAAATTCATTAAAAGACTTAGTAGACTACAAAATATTACAAGATTTGGCCCTTAGCAGACGAGGATAATGCACGTTTTACAATGTGCCAAGAATTTTCCCGCAACAACTCAAAGAGAAGAAATGAAGTGGCGGATCTAGAGGGAGTTCAGTTTTTTCCTCTAAGAGAGAGCAAGGATACCAACATATTTGCTGCATTTTTATTAAATTAAACTACACTGCATATCTAGTTGTAGATTACATTTAATTTTAGTTTTAAACTTTTAATGTAAATGCCATACAGGCCCATGGTTCAAAAGTTGTTGACGCAGAGTACCAGGGGTTAATACTGAATATGCATTATATAATTAAGAAAATCATGCAATGTAGAGCACAAGCTTTTAATATCACGAGGATATATATTAAAAGATAAATATAAGATATTTTAAAAACAGACCACCATAGTCTTTAGTTGCTTCATAAAAGGAACATTAATTGGTTTGCGGCCGATTTTTGACGCTTACGTCAATACATGTTTCTTGTCTTAATTTTTAGAAAAACACAGGTACGTGTGGACAAGACCCCCCCCCCCTTGATATTGAACCCCGGGGCTTATTTCTCTGTTATGTGTAGCCTTACAATACGAAAAAAATCGCTGGCGTAAAACCCCCAGAATAATCGCTCAACCAAAAAAAAACAAAACAAAAAAACACTATTTATTACCCCACTTTACAAGAAAGAAAGCTGTTTACGGAAAAAATGTGGGATTATTACGTGATGCAGAGTCAGTCCGATAGCATGGACTAAGACAGAAATCAGTGGCAGATTTAAGGGGGGGGGGGGGCGCACCCGGCGCGCGCCCACTTAAAATTGTCCAAGTTAGCATAAAACATAGTTTGTCGAGAAAATGTTTTAAATGTCTACTCTGTAGACTTCATTTTTACCCTACAAAACCTCTAGAATCCAAGAGCTTCCGGAGCCTTCGCCCCCTGGGCCCCCACCAGAGCTTTGCCCTGGACCCACTGGGGGCCTCAAGGCGGCCCCAGACCCCCTGCCTGAATCTGGCGCCCCCTTACTTCAATTCCTGGATCCGCCCCTGGAAATACATTGTATATGTAGAGACAATGTGAATCGACATATAAAGTTAAAACAAAATAAATGCATTTAACACCAGTGGGGGTACAACGTAAACAGACTGGAGTGGCATATCCTTCTCTTATAATGTATAGTGGGTATTTGGGGGGGGGGGTGTTGAGCGATTATTCTGGGGATTTTACAATTTTTTGTTATTGTATACATGATGAATAAGTTTAATAAATAAAACTTGTGAAAAAAATGTCCAATAAGCCCTAGGGTTGAATATCGAGGGGGGGGGGGGGGGGTACCTTTCACAAGTACCTGTGGTTTTCCTAACACAGGAAATGCATAAAAATTAAGTTTAGTAGACAATTCAAAAATATATATACTCCTGATATATGAAATCTATTTAATATTTAGGAATCTATAATATAAATTAAAATATTTTTGGCTGATCAAAATTCCATTAATTATTTAAATTTCCCTCTAATATATATAACACTTTTTCTTGTATTGTAATTTAATCAAATGACCCATTTGATATAATTATGTTGAACTAGTTCTTGATAGTAAAAACATAATAAAGGGAAATAATCAAATGTTGAACCCGGTTTTGATTGGTTCGTTTGGATCTTGAATCTCGAAACTCGAATTACGAATCTCGAATTTCGAATTTCGTATTTGGAAACTCGAATCTCGAATGAGCCTTCTGGGCTTTCGTATG